GTAAAATGTTTTGACAGTGGAAGAAAACTGGGATACGGAGAGAGAACCCACACCCAAAGAGGTGTAACATGCTAACTTTTCTCTCCAAGACGACAGCCCCAATAACCTGGCTACTACGCAGGTAACAAAAGATAACAAAAAAAAAAATCTGGAGAAAAAACAAAACGCTAAATAATAATATAAATAATATACTAAACTCTCTAAAATTCCAATGACTCCTATTTAGGTTTTTTCTCTAAAATTCTATCCTTACTGAAGACAAAGGCTCACAGGAACAGTTGAAAAAGTTAGATATTAACTTTTTTTCTTACAAAAGAAGACTAGAATGCTATTATCTAATAATCTTCTTTTTATATTATCCTTCACCTTATCAACTCATCATGCATTCATATTTTAATCAGTAGCAATCTTTTGAAAGTAATGGTAAATTTAAAATCTACACGAGCTCCTAACTATCAGGTTAGGAGTGAGCATTATTTTACAGGTTATTCATTTTTCCTTTTTTCTTATAGAAAGCTTTTGCTCAGAATTAATATTTTGAACATTTCATTATCTACTATACTATAGTAGTCAAAGCCACAGGTGAATAGTAGCGATATTATCCAGGATCACTCATAACAAGAACTGTTTATAGTTTGTCACCTAATTAACTGTAGGGACGTGGCTTACATTACATTCATACCTTTTTATTAGGGGATAACAATATGACTAATAAAACTAAATTCCTGTCAAAAGTGCTCATTTAGTCTGCTCTCATATTTTAGGGTTTCCTTAGAAATTCATTACACTGGATGCCCTTTCTGACAAACATAGGATTTGACTATGGGTTTCCTGCATGGCACACATGTTTATGAGTAAGGAAAAAAACACACACATAGAAATTAGTTACAACTGTGTGGGACCATAAAAGGTTAAACTATCAGTAATCGAACTCATGCTTTACTATTTGATCTATTAACTAGTAAGCTCTTCATGATTTATTTAGTGCACACTAAAGTCTCTTTGCCCAGGTGTAGATTGCACATTGGATCTGAGTGTTAAAAGCTGTCTTTGTAGTGCAATCATTTTTTTTTCTTTCTTTTTTTTCTTGCTGCTTTTTCCCTGATGCATCCAATGTAAGGGAAACACAACAGGGGGTGCTGCCTGCTTTTTCTGTTGGCTTGGTATATAAGAGCTCTTAGTTTTAAGTGCTAAATTTAATGCGTCATCCAGCACCTTCTGTAACCCCGAGAACATTTTTTAGGTTAATCAAAAGAAACACTTTAAAATCGTATATCCGTTTAAGTCTAAATGTTCCTCTCCATCATATTTAACTCAGTAAAAAATATCCTATGTCGTAGGATGTGAATTATCCGCTGCTTTTTTAAGAAAGCACTTGTCGAGAGAGGGTATAAACACATGCAGATCGGCATGATCTAAAAACTTTCTTTCTTTTTCCTGTTTCCAGCGATTGCACTGATCCTAATTTGGTAACTTTCCTCCAGATATGAGAAAGTAAAATGTGTGTGCATAAGTGTTTCTTATCGAGGACAATTTCTCCCTGATTTCATTTGTTCAGCTTCCCACCTTGGTCAAATAAAATATAAATTATTTTGCATCAAGAATGCATTAAAAAGGCAAAACTGTGCCTTTTCAATGATATTGCATAATTTAGTCCTTTTTGAGTTTGTATCCTTAGCCCGGCTCTCTTTCACAATCAAAAGGAGGTTCATTTCATTGGAAGTTTTATATGGAAGGGACTCAGATGCAGATTAAATTCCTTATTCCCTTACAACACTCCCCAAAATGAACTAAGAAACATGATTAGAAAATAAATATTACCCTGAAAAGATCTAATCCGGAAGGATGAATTGTATGGACTTTAACATATCACTTAAAACAAACGAAGATCTTTTATTTGCTCCCAATTTTACTTCTTTCTTTAAATAGACGTCTTTTAAAGCATCAGTAATAATTGCAAAATACTTCTGATTCTCAGAAAAACAAATGTTTTCCAAGTCTTTAACTTTGTTACAAAGAATCTGTATTAAATCTATAATTACTAATTAGTCTCCATGTTTAAACAAATAATTTAAAAATCTAAGCTGAGCTACATAAAAACACCTATTAGTTTAGGTTACAAATTAGACACCGCCTCTAGCGTCATCAATTCCAGAAATATCCAGAAATATAAAATTGACCACTGGTACAGGTGCTGGTCATAAAATTAGAATATCATGAAAAAGTAGATTGATTTCAGTAATTCCATTTAAAAAGTGAAACTTGTATATTATATTCATACATTACATACAAACTCATATATTTCAGATGTTTATTTTGTTTAATTTTGATGATTACAAATGACAACAAATGAAAATCTCAAATTCATCATATCAGAAAATTAGAATATTACTGAAGACCAATAAAAACAAAGGATTTATAGAAATGTTGGCCAACTGAAAAGTATGAACATGAAAAGTATGAGCATGTACAGCACTCAGTATTTAGTTGGGCCTCCTTTGGCCTGTATTACTGCAGCAATGCGGCGTGGCATGGAGTCGATCTGTCTGTGGCACTGCTCAGGTGTTATGATAGCCCAGGTTGCTCTAATAGTGGCTTTTAGCTCTTCTGAATTGTTGGGTCTGGTGTATTGCATCTTCTTCTTCACAATACCCCATAGATTTTCTATGGGGTTAAGGTCAGGAGAGTTTGCTGGCCAATTAAGAACAGGGATACCATGGTCCTTCAACCAGGTACTGGTAGCTTTGGCACTGTGTGCAGGTGCCAAGTCCTGTTGGAAAATGAAATCTGCATCTCCAAAAAGTTGGTCAGCTGCAGGAAGCATGAAGTGCTCTAAAACTCCCTGGTATGTGGCTGCGTTGACCCTGGACCTCAGAAAACACAATGGACCAACACCAGCAGATGACATGGCACCCCAAACCATCACTGACTGTGGAAACTTTACACTGGACTTCAAGCAACGTGGATGAAGTGCCTCTCTTCTTTTCCTCCAGACTCTGGGACCTTGATTTCCAAAGGAAATGCAAAATTTACTTTCATCAGAGAACATGACTTTGGACCACTCACCAGCAGTCCAGTCCTGTTTCTCTTTAGACGCTTCTGACGCTGTCTGTGGTTCAAGAGTGGCTTGACACAAGGAATGCGACAGCAGAAACCCATGTCTTTCATACGTCTGTGTGTGGTGGTTCTTGAAGCACTCACTCCAGCTGCAGTCCACTCTTTGTGAATCTCCCCCACATTTTTGAATGGGTTTTGTTTCACAATCCTCTCCAGGGTGCGGTTATCTCTCTTGCTTGTACACTTTTTTCGACCACATCTTTTCCTTCCCTTCGCCTCTCTATTAATGTGCTTGGACACTGAGCTCTGTGAACAGCCAGCCTCTTTAGCGATGACCTTTTGTGTCTTGCCCTCCTTGTGCAAGGTGTCGATGGTCGTCTTTTGGACAACTGTCAAGTCAGCAGTCTTCCCCATGATTGTGTAGCCTATAGAACTAGACTGAAAGACCATTTAAAGGCTTTTGCAGGTGGTTTGAGTTAATTAGCTGATTAGAGTGTGGCACCAGGGGCCATCAATTTTGAACCTTTTCACAATATTCTAATTTTCTGATATGATGAATTTGAGATTTTCATTTGTTGTCATTTGTAATCATCAAAATTAAACAAAATAAACATCTGAAATATATGAGTTTGTATGTAATGTATGAATATAATATACAAGTTTCACTTTTTAAATGGAATTACTGAAATCAATCCACTTTTTCATGATATTCTAATTTTATGACCAGCACCTGTATGTATACCAGTATATCAACAAGCATTTAAAATCTGAATTCCTTAATTATAATTTAGAAACCATTATGTTTTATAATGATAACTAAATAAAAGTAATTTGTCCTTGCGTCAAAAAAAAAAAAAAATACAGTTCCTTGAAAAAAAATAGCCAGTCAAATCTAAAGTTGACTCTTTTTCATCCATATGACCACAGAGGTTACTAGTTTTATGCTAAATTCTGCAGGCAGGTTCCACCATTTTTCAGGGACCTTTTCAGCTTCTCTTTACTGCAGGGCGAGTTTTGCTCTGACTTCCACTTTATGATACCCAAAAGGTGTCAAAGCTTTCCTTTCTTTTTTAGGAACTCCTGTCTGATTTTAGCGTTATGCTTTGAATTGTTATCATGCCGGATTTTTCTTCTTTCAAGCTTCAGGATAATGGAAGTCATGTTGTCGGCTCATATTTCAGTGCATTCACAGGAGCTTTTGGTGGTGTCTTTAAATTTCATGTCCCAAAAGATTTTGCACTTTACAACCCCTGTATTATTAAATTATGGTAACAGTTTCTAACTTCCTGGACCAAGAATTCCAGGTCAAGTTCATGCCAAATAATCTGAGCTGAGCATATTTATCTTGTTCTCATTATAGCAAAGGACGTGCTCCTAATATTCATTAGGCCTTTTTCATGTTCTCCAGCAAAATCTAATTTTGCAGTTTAGACTGTAGAAAAGGCTTACTTCTTCTCGTGTACCCCATCCAGTAAGGTCAATAATAAAGCACCCCATGTATTGTATAAGCTGTCATAAAATGGATATTTTTATTTAAGCCCTTTGATGAATTTGCTGTAGTGTGGTGTGGTTAGTTTTTATACCTATAATCTAAAGATTCTGCAACAAATTGCCTTTACCATGTGATTTTAAATTAAATCTATTTATCTTTTTAAATTCTAACGTTTTGTTCCTCTACCTTTTCCTCTCACACACAATAAAAAGAGGTGCACTTGGCAGTTTATGAGTTGTTTCAATATAAGTTATGTATTGTCTGTCTTTTCATAAACTGTCCTTTCATTGCTTCATATAGTATTGAAGAAACCTTCTATTCTGCTTCCATTTCTACTCTTCAATCATACCATGAAGAGAAGAATAGCAAAACAGACAATACTACTTAGCGAAAGTCTTGATCCTACCTATCTAACTTATTGTTTCCTTGTGTTATCCCCTCATGCTATCAGTGGCTGGAACAAAAAGCAAAGCGAAAGGTGAGTTATTGTTTCCATTTTCTTAGTACATGATTTATGTCGCACACAGTTTCCAATAAACAAGGTCTGGATCAAGCTTTTATCTCCCCCAAGAGCCAAGCAAGCATTAACATATGTTCTTTTGGATGAAGCTTTCTCTGCATGTTTTTTTTCTCCAAACATTGATTTCCTCTGAAGAGGTATACTGAGCCTATCTGCTCTTTCCCAGATACAGGCTGTTTCACATATGTATAGATTCACACTAGGGAGCTACCAACATCTCCCAGTCATTCCTCCCTATATACAGCTAGTGTGCAGCTCCAGTGAAGCAGCTGGGGCCTGTTTCATGATTCAAGGGCAGCCCAGTGGCAGATGAGTGAGGGGGATGTCTCTCCCTACTTAGATATTCTGAATTTAAGAAAGACTTCCTGGTTATAGGATTGCTTTTCACTTTTTTGCTTTTTAACTCTGCCACTTGACTAGTATTTGCGACGGTGTGTTGCCTCTATATAGAAAACACTTTAAAGAAATAGTAAATCATGTCTGCAAATATTGTGACACAGTTGAAATAGCCATTGTAGTCCTTTAAAGACCACCACTTGGAGCTATTGAAAGGAAATATTAAGAGTTTATTATACTTTTTTCCACTGGAGGAAATAGCTAATAATACAAGTATACTCTATGATATTGTTAATTAATTTAATGTCTTTAATGCATAGAACTTTTTGGCCACTTAAGATAAGCCGTATACCTGTACAGACATTTGTGTAAGATACTGCTAGTCTGAGCTAACTACTTTAATACCCCCTAGGTGTGTCCTGTTGAAAGGATTTCTGGGCAATTCCCACTGGGAAGGGGCCCTGGGGCAGAACTTGCTGAAGAGAAGCTATGTATACTTTCTGACCTGGGGATGCTGGGATCTCCTAGATTTAGCTTCAAGGAGTGTGCTAAGGGAGAGGGATGATTGGATTTCCCTCCCTGACCTTTTACCTTTATCTTAGATAAACAGAGGACTTGGAACGGATAATGGGTAAAGTTAGACATTTACCTCTTTACCAAAAATCTGTCAAAAGTGATAGAGAAACTTTTACTGGTTTATAGTCAGGGTTAAGGATATGCTTTGCAATAACTATCATTTATAGATGATAAAGAGGCCATTTAATAATGATTGATTAATTTACAAACTGCATCTAAACCATTTATAAAAGGTAAATAGAGAATTTATTAAGGTATTAAGCCCACTGATGTTACAGTAGGGTAAGTCCAGCATGACAGGGCAAGTTTAAAAGAAAATAAAACTATAAATGATGGTTATTGTAAAGTTTTATTTTATCTGGTAGTTTGTAGTTGTAGAATAATATTGATTTAAGATGCCAACATATTTCTACCCAAACAAAAATAGAACTGATTGATCTCACAATGGAAAAATTCACTCTCTGCATGTTACCCATCCCCTTGGGGAGCAGGGTGGGGTTAAGGGTCTTGCTCAGGGTCCCAGAGTGCAGGCTGTGGGGACCGAACCGGGTACTTGCAACCTTCTCAGAGCACAAGCGCATTGCTCTAACCACAAGGCCAAAACTCCCCAAATATAATTGTTTTTAGTAATCCATTGCCTCTTTTTCATATACTTTTTGATAGCCTTCCTATTAGACATAAGCAATTAAATGTGTGTTATTGGTTAGAAGCTAGCCATTGAAGAGGGTTTGAGAGCATATGTTGTATTAATTTAACTCCAGATTAATCTATGGTTAAAAAGAACCTAAATTGAGAGTCGCTTTTTTTGTTGTTATTTTTTTTTATAAAGTTGGATCCAGCTCTAGGATGGTTCTCCTCAGTGGATAGCATGTGCTGTTGCTATTAATATTCAGCCTTATCTTAGAACTGCTTCATATCTTATAGGTTAGCAACATTTAAACCATAATAAATGCTGACACATTGTTTGCATGTTTGCCTTGCAGAAAACTCCATGTTTTGAATCATGACTGGCCATTGTGTGTTGAGTCTGCATGTTCTCAATATATACATGGACACTCCCATATAAACATGGGATATATACAGGTGTGACTGGATGCATGCATGGTTATTTTTCCTGTCACCCTGTGTTCCTTTATGGTAGACTGGTGATCTATTCATGGTGCGCCTTGTCCTCCACCCCCTATTTGCTAAAAATAACACATCAGCTACAACCAAGCACATAAAACCAGCAGAGAAAATATATGTATGAAAAGATTTAGTTTTTAATTTTGTGTTCAACTCTTTAAATTCCTTAATGTTCCATGTTAATCTCTTGAAGTAATAACTTGTGTTGAAAACCTAACCTACTATTCTGTTTAAAGCCCACAAATCAACTCTGCTGTGTTAAACCAGTGACCCAAACTGAGTTTTTTCAGTATTTCTTACTGTGACATTTATTTCTTACTGCTAATTAATAAATTGTTCAAATCTTTAAATCCAGCTGCAATGAAAAGATTAAATGAAATTATTCTTAATGATGTGAACAGTTGAGAAAAAACATTACGTTTTGCAACTAAACTCACTGCCTTTTTCAGAAGTTAAAGAACAGGGGGAAAAATGAAATTCAAGCAAAGCAAAGAAAAACTTACCACAGGCATTTATGTAACTGAGAAACAGTAAGAATGTAAAACAGAAAGGTGCAAACACTTAATGAGGATAACCAGTCTGATCTAGGAGATGTGCTTAATTAGCAAACTAGGACTAAGGGTAAAGGTAGAAAAGAAAGGACTTAACTAAAACAAACCTGGAAACAGACTTATGAGCAACCAACCAACACCTACACTGTAAATGTGAAATAGAAAGCACAGAAGAAGACATTAATTATCCACAGCAGAAGTACTGATAGACCTTTAGAATCAATACATTCAGTTAACTGCTGTTTTGAAAAGATTTGCTTTCAGTTCAAACTAAATATCCATAATATTTTGGGTTTTTCTTTGTATTTCTGTATTATTTTTTTCTTTGTGTTACGGATGTGACTTCAACCAAACCTACTGATTAATGTTGTTCATTTACATGAAAGTGTTCCACAGATTTTATTTCACATCCTTTTCAATCTGCAGCACTTTCTAATCACAGAAGCAATTAGGGAGGTAGTTTTTAATTAAGAAAAGATACACATTCAGCATTTGTGGTCCTAAAATGTAGTTCAACACAGTGGAACATTTTCCAACGTTACTTCCAGGACTCTAATTATGGTTGATTACTTGTATTAATAATTATGAAGATAATATTGTATATATAACATGTAGCACTCTCTAATGGTGTCTAATTGCCTTTGTCAGTTTTCTGCCTTCACGGCGATGTACATAGGAACACACACAAAAAAAAGAATAAAAGAAGAAGCTATGAATTATTCTCCTATATTATAATGGAAACATGGCTCCCTCAGAGGACACAGCTGACCAAATGAAGAAGTGCTCAGACCAATTTGAATGCACAGTAGAAGAGAACCACTCATTAAAATATAAAAACTGTATAAGAAGAGTACACTCAGCAAAAACACTAGGTGAATAACTATCCTGGCAGACACAAATGCATTTTAACAGTTGGGAGTAGCAATGTAGCTTGTAATATTTTCTTCTTTTTGAATCAGACCATTTTTAATCAGAAAACTTTAACACATTTTCTCTGATTAAAACACCAGTCAGTGTTATTTATTTTGGATCTTTTTTAGGTGATGGTGAGCCGCTATTGCATGATTATGAGGTGGAAGAAAGGTTATATCTTATCAGGTTTAAATAAAAGCTGTGTTGGTTGAGCCTCTACCAATGTTGCATTTCTAGAAACTTAATTTTCACATTTTTTGTCTTATGTTAGATGCTTCAAGCTAAGTTCAATTTTGTAGCCTACAGATTTTGTAGTTAGACATTAGTCTGGACCATGGGTCATTCTATCACATCTTTATGCTTTGATCTAAAGCATTCCATTGTAGCTCAGGTTGAATAATAGTCCATAACAATCAAATTTAGTCTGTGTAGAATTCTTTTATAAACAAACTTCAATTTGTTTATAATGTTTAGTTTGTTCTAATAATTCCAAACCTCATTGTATTTTAAAGAATAGTCACATTTAAATGGAATAATATTTACTAATTGGATGACTTCCTTAAAAATGAGTGTTTGCAGAGGATTTTATCCAGAGATATCCACCTAAAGTGGCCAGTTCTAAGGCCTGTGACAACAATTTTAAAACATCAAACAGAAACAGTAAAGTTAATGCTCACACTTTTGAATAACATAATGAAGCAGACTTTATTTAAATATTTTATGGCATCTCTTAGAGAAATAATTTCTTGAACTGAGAATCATATACGGTATATCCCAGCATGCCACTCATCTTGAACGATAATCCTGAAACCAATTTTTGGAACAACATATAGAGTGCTGTAAATAATACGATCTAGACTTATAATTTCTCAGTGAGAAAGCACAATATTTCTGACCCACATTCTAAAGCTGATATATTGCCTTCTCTAACTTTCCCTTCTTTTTTTTTTATTTTTTAAACCTGTTAAAAAAAAAAAAAAAGTACACCACAGACCTTTTCCCAGCAGGGATATTTATTACCAGTTCTGTCGATTTAGCGCCCCTACCCTTCCCCCCATCCTCCCCCACTGAGGGAAATCACAGGGGAGGACAAGACTCAGAACCACCTCTCTGCTGGGGAAGGTTCACTTTTGCTCCGATGGCATTCAGTAACAGGCACTAAGTGCTTTTTTTGTTGATGGCGGATAAGGGTGACAGACAGCTCACTCTGTCCTTGTTATTTTCTTTGTGAAAGACTTCATCAACTCAATCAAGTAACTGCATCTTTAAAATAACACTATCAGCTCAGACTATGATTACAATACCAGGCTGATACTCTGTTATATACTAACTGATGGGTTATCTTGTATCTGTGTTGTCTGCAGCTCATGGAAGCATTGTAGGAAATCACTGTAATCCCAGCTGAGATAAAGGATGAGCAGAGACTAATGTGTCTTGATAAGATTTCGAAATTGAGAC